GGGTTTCCTAAATTTCCCAAAATAAAATATTTAGGTGGCGACTCTGTATCTGGCAAAGCAGTCCATGTTTGGCACTTCTTTCAAAATCTGTTTTCTTAAAACGATTTGCCGGATTTGGACTATTTGGTTCAGATTTAGAACCGTGAAAATTTGAGAGTCCTGAACGGTAGTGAGCCCAATATGAACAGAAGGGGGGGGGGGGACTCTCCCTCCTGGGGCGTTCGGGGACGTCTACAGTAGCCTGTGATGGCAAGAAGGAGGAGGTGATTAGCAAGTTAAAGGACTTGGAGGCTACAGACAAAGGAAAAGAGGTCAGAAGGGGTGGTGATACGCAGTGAACACTAAGCTTAGGGATTTTTTGAGTGAAACAACTTTTGTTATGAAGATACAATCTTGGAATGTTAGAGGTATTGGTAGACCAGAGAAAATGAGAAAAATTAAACAGAGTTTGGCAGCAAGGAAAGTCAATTTTGTGATGCTTCAAGAAACAAAGAGATGATCATTAATTACGCCCAAAATAGTAAAGTCTCTCTAGTATAAAGATAATTTTGAGTATCTGGCAGTGGACGCGGAAGGAAGAGCTGGTGGGTTACTATGTATTTGGAATACAGGGGTGCTTCAATTGGATGTTTGCTGCGAAAACCATTATTTTATCCTACTGTCAGGTAAATTATTTTCCTCTTTTAAGTGTTTGATTGTCAATGTATATGGTCCATCAGATGTGGTTAAAAGGAAAGAATTATGGGTCACTTTAGCTCTGTTGAAGAGTTTGTTCTTGGGGCCATGGTGCATGGGGGAGGGGGGGATTTCAACGAAATAAGGAATATTATTGAGCTTATTGGGTGCTCTAGAAGGGATAGAGGAATGAGGGATCTTAATGACTTAGTTGAACAACTAGAGTTGATTGATATGCCTATGCTTGAGAGGAAATTTACTTGGTGTAACTCACAAACAAGAGAGAAATGGAGCAGAATAGACAGATTTTTACTCAATTATGAGTGGATACAAAATTTCAATCTAAAGTTATGAGGACTTCCTAGATTGATATTTGACCATTGTCCTATAATTCTGATGGAGGATGAAAGAGATTACGGCCCTAGACCTTTTCAATTTCTGAATGCTTGGGTTCTTCATCCTAAATTTGTAGATTTAGTAGAGAAATTTTGGTCAGATTTCCAAGTGGAAGGTTGGGCTAGTTATAGATGCCTTATGAAGTTCAAAGCTTTGAAACACAAATTAAAGGTGTGGAACATTGAAGAGTTTGGGAAGCTAGAGTCTAAGCTTAAAGCTGCTGAGGAAGAAGCCCATGCCATAGAGCTAATTGCTGAAGAAAGGTCACTTCTGGGGGTTGAACAAGCTAGATGAAAGGAAGTAATGAATGACATTTGGAGGTTAAACAAAATGTTGGAATGGACTTCGCTCCAAAAATCTAGTCTTAATTGGGCCTCCAAAGGAGATAGAAATACGAGGTAATTTCACATTATGCCGTCTAAGAGAAACAACAGGAATTCCTTGTGTTCAATTATGGTGAATGGCTCAATGGTGGAAGAACCTTTAGAGGTTAGGCAGGAGGTGAAGTCTCATTTCATGAATCAATTTTCTGAATCTTGGGTGATTAGGCCTAAACTGACTAGCCAGTTCAAAAATATTAGAGGTCGTCAAACAGCAGATTTGATGGAAGTAGACATTACGGAGGAGGAAGTTAGAAATGTTATCAGGAGCAGTGATGGCAATAAAGCACCTGGGCCGGATGGTTTTAATTTAGCTTTTTTTAAGAAATGTTGGAAAATAGTCAAACCCGAGGTAATGCAATTCTTAAGAGAGTTCCATCAAAATGCCTTATTGGTTAATGGGTTAAATAGCTCTTTTATGGCCCTAATTCCAAAAATAGATAGCTCATCAAGCTTAAGAGAGTATAGGCCTATAAGTCTCATTGGTTTCTTGTATAAAATCCTGGCTAAAGTCTTAGCAAATAAGATTAAACAAGTGATGCCAAGGATTATTAGCGAGACACAATCCGTATTTCTTGGGGGAAGGAATATCTTAGATGGGATCCTCATTGCAAACGAGATAATTGGTGGGTGAAGAAAATTAAAGAAGAAAGGTTTGGTGTTGAAATTAGATTTTGAGAAAGCATATGATTCAGTCAATTGGGAATTCTTATTCAATATGTTATCTAATTTTGGATTTGGGGATAGATAGGTGAGATGGATAAAAAGCTGTGTAACCTCCACAAAAGTATCAGTTTTAGTGAATAGTTCTCCTACTGACAAGTTTTGCCCAAAGAGAGGTCTACGGCAAGGTGATCCATTGTCCCCTTTTCTTTTCAATATTGTGGCCAAAGGATTGACTATATTGTTTGATAGGGCCAAGGAAATGGTTTTGATCAAAGAGGTTGTCATTGGAAGCAATGAGCTCACAATAACGCATCTGCAATTTGCAGATGATACAATACTGTTTTGTGAAGCTAAGTGGTTGGAAGTGGTGACCATCAAACGAATTCTTAGGTGTTTTGAAATCCTCTCGGGGTTGAAAATAAATTATCATAAGAGCGTGATTGCCGGTATTGGAGTGAAGGAAGTAATGCTGCAAAGTTTTGCCTCTAGACTAAATTGCGCCCATCAGAGGTTACCTTTTAAGTATCTTGGTGTACCTCTAGGAGCTAATCCTGGTAGGTCAAGTACTTGAAAGCCAGTCTTGGATAAGTTTAAACAGAAGTTACCCACCTAGAAGAGAAGGCTGATGTCGTTTGCTGGGAGGTTGACTTTAATTAAGTCGGTTATGAGCAACTTGCCTATTTATTACTTGTCATTGTTCAAGATACCAATGGGGGTGGAAAAAGCAATTGACAAGATTCAAGCAAACTTTCTTTGGGATCCGACCTTAGAAGAAAAGTTCACATGGTGCAATGGGATATCATTACTAAGAGTAAGCATTTGGGAGGTTTGGGGATCAAAAGAACCACAGTTATGAATAAGTGTTTACTGATGAAATGGTGGTGGAGGTTTAGGTCAAAACATCATACTCTATGGAAGGATGTTATATGCTCTAAGTCTAATATGAGAGGTGGAAGTTGGCTGCCATGTCTGGAAGGAAACAGCAGAGGATCAAAAATTTGGTCCGATATCGTTACTGTAATTCTAGCTTCACTTGTGTTACACAATCTGTACATTTCAAACTCTACAATTGAGTTGTGAAATAGTAGGAAAGCCCATTTCTAGCTGGATAAATGGGTTGGGGAGTTATGTCTCAAGGAGGAATTTCCCAGACTTTTTGCTCTGTCCACTGATAAAGTAGGAGTAGTGATTGATTTTTATAACAGGAGAGGGGGGATTCAGGTATGGAATCTGGAATTCAGGAGGCCCCTGTTGGCCTGGGAAGAGGAGGAGGTTTGTAGACTTCATTCCTTCCTTATAAATGCTTCAGAAATGAGGGCCACCAAACCCGATGTTTGGAAGTGGAAGGCTGATCCATCTGGGGTGGTTTCGGTTGCATCAGTGTACAAAAGATATGAATTCTTCTTGGGCTCTGTTAGGAAAATGGCAGTGGTAGTTTGGAACAACTGTGCTCCTCCTAAAGTCAAATTTTTTGGGTGGTTGGCTTGGCAAGGCAACGTGAAAACCTCTAGTTTCCTGCAGAGAATTGGGATTTTAGATGCATCTGCCATTGTGGGCTGTGTTTTCTGTGAAAACGAGGTGGAATCTGTCAACCATATATTACTCTTTTGTCCATTTGTTTGGCTGTTGTGGTCTCATATTATGAAATGGTGGGTTTCTCAGTGGGCTATGCCAAACACAATGGAAGGGCTGCTATAATGGTGGTCGTTTTGCAAAATGAAAATGAGTGAAAAGCTATTGTGGAAGGTTGTGCCTTTGGCTGTCTTGTGGTCCACATGGAAACATCGAAATGATTGTGTTTTTAATGGTTCTCAACCAAACTTTGAGGAACTATGTGAGGTTGTCAAAACAAGAATAGCTTTGTGGGCCAAATCATCTCCAGCTAATTTAGAGTTCTCTGTTACTGATATAGTATTTAATTTGTAGCAGGTTCAATATTACATTAGAAATGGGAGCTGAGATATGTTTATATCAGTTTGTTTAATTACCTGAATTCTTCATATGGGAGGCTAATGATGGAGTGAGTATGGTGGCTGCTCTATTGATTGTTGGTGTGCTCTGTGTTAGTCTTTTTTGGGTTGTTTTGCTCTTTGTCTGTCCATTTGGTTTTGTTTTGTTCATTTTGTTTTGCTGAAGTAGTGGTCTGTGATGTTGGTCCATTTTGTTTGGATTGATATGGTGGTTGAGTCTGGGTGTTTGAGATGATGGCTCTGTTGTTTTGGTCAGTTTGTTTTTGTTCTTCACTGATATGCTCTGATCTGATATGGTGGCTCTGTTATGTTAAGATGGTGGAAACTGGTCTGATGCTGTAATTTTGGTTTTGACTTCTTACTAATGGAGTGCAGGTTTTTTGTGCTGGTATATTGGTTGTTTTGGCTGCACAATTCTGTGCTGATACTGAACTGGTTTTATACTATAGAGTCATGTTGTTTTTTTGTTTGAAGTTATGTTGTTCTGCACAGTAGAGTGCACTAAGCTGCTGCTGCTGATTTATTGGTCAATGTAAACCAGTCTAGCTAGATTTGGTGTTGTTTACAGGTGATTTGGGAAATGAGAACGTTGAGGTTGTTAGAAGTATTGCGAAGTTAAAAGTTGCATGATGCCTGGAGTACTTAACAATTTGCTGAAAGATGAAGCTAGGCTAGGCTGCTTGGAGTTGGGAGCTTCTATCTATGGATGTGCTGCTGTGAAGATTATGCCAGCATAATGAGCACAAGGAATTTAAAATAAGGTTGATTCTGGTTGTGTTTCAATTTTGCATTTTGATCTGAATTGGTGATCCGCTGAGTTCTACATTTTGATCTGAATGGGTGATCTGCTGAGGTATTATTTTGCTGGTCTGCTATGCTTAGGTGCTAGGTTTGGTTGGTTGGTTGTTTTATTTCAGATGTTTGGCTGATGGTCTGAATTTGGTGGTTGTTCTGATGGTACTATGGTCTGTTCTTTTTACGTTGGTCTCTCACCAACTTGGGGGTGCTAGCAAATGATAGAATGTGCTTTGTGGTGCCAACCTAGTTGGGATCATTTAGCTCATTGTGATGCTTTCGCACTTCCATTTTCTTTATTGATGTAATTTGTCTTGTGCCTTGTACTTGTTTATTCCATCAATAAAGTTTTTTTTTTGCCGATCAAAAAAAAAAAAAAAAGCTGACCACTAAAGAGACTGTCTCACTCACGCTGCTCCTCCAGTTATGTTCCTTTGATTGATTATAACTTAGGGCGAATTATACAAATATATATATATATACATATATATTTTGAGATTTGTGTTACTTTGGTTACTTTTCAGTTGTGATATATTTGATTCTAAATTTTGAATCTTATTTTAAATAAGGACAATCAAATATATTTCATTTGCAAACAGTTCATTTTAAGGGCAAAGTCGTCATACAACTTATTTTATATTAGTTAATTTGTATATTGTTTGAAATGTAATTGCATTATGTTTGATTATAAAATTATGTTTGATTTGGTTTTTAGAATTTATTTTGAGAAATTTTTTCTAAGAAACTAAAAACTAAATTGGTGATTTTTTTTTTTTAAAACACATTATTTTTATATAATTTTATCCTTTAGGATGGTAGAAATAATTTAAATTTATTTTTTTTGATATTTATTTTCATTAAATTAATTTATATTTTTTTTAAAGTCAAATATAGCGACAACTTTGATGTCATTATTAAACCAATCTATTAAATCAAAAAATCCAAAATTAAAAACATTTCATATATTAAACATATGGATTACACATTAAAAGTCTAATTACATAACCATTCAAAAATATCTGTTAACAACAAAAACAACCATTTATTACATGATAATCATAAAAAAAATATCAACAAAATAGCCACCCATTATATAATCATCACAAAACACATACTAAAAATTAATTTGGTAAAAAAATAAAATATGAAAATGTAAAAGATTTATCATTTTTATATAATTTTATCTTTGATGAGTAGAAATAATTTTTAAAAATTCAAAAATAACTTTTTTTATATTTATTTTTGTCAAATTAATTTATATTTTATCAAATGGACGACTTTATCTTTAAAATTGAACATTTTCCCATTGCAAAGGAAATTATATTTTCAATTGTCCTTATTTGGAACGAAACTCAAAATTCAAGATCAAATATATCACAATTGAAAGGTCAAAGATCAAAGTGAGACAAACTTCAGGCTATAGGGACTATGAGTGTAATTCGCCTTATAATTTATATGTATGTAGAATTATTGCTAATTTTAATATATTAAAAATCAACAGAAAATGTTTGATATTAAAATTGCAAAAGTTGTCTGAATTTCCTGTAACGGGCTTGAAAAATTCAAATAAAAGGTGTCATATAAAGATTAAAGTCAGTCTACACATAATATTATTTTTCAAAATAATTTTTCATTCATGAATGATCTTACATTTATTTATCTTGTCCCTATCGAAGTGGTTACATAATCGGATTAGTTGTCTTATTCTTTCTTATCTCTGACCTAAATCTCCTCTATATTACTTTAGAGAAATATATCATATGATCGAGAGGGCAGGGAATCACTAACCACCCAACTTAGTCAAGAAATGCAAAAATAAAAAATTAAAGAAAGAAGAAGAAAAAACAGCAACAACTTAGTCAAGAACTGCAAAGTTCTACATTTAAATATCTACCAGTGGCCTGCCATTTCGTGGGTCACGGTGACCCACACAGCTACCATTTCCTGAACAATGATGAGAGAAACAATGGACAATTTCATGATGAGAGAATGTCTCAAATTGACCCTCAAGGTGCTACAGTTTAAAAGAGAGTGACAGTCGGAATCGAATTGTTTCATAAATTTAGTCAGATTGATGTCTTTCAACCATGGAAATTGGAATATACATAATTACAGACATTACAAACTCAAAAAATAAATTCAGAAATATATTCAGAATCTTAAATTTAAAGACAAGATTCATTGATAATTGTCCCCACAACAAAGGACTGGATCTATACCACAGGTTTAAAATTCTGATTCCTTTTCTGTTATTTTTTTTAGCATTATAGACTTTATAATACATAATAGTCTTGTTTGGTGGAACTTTTTTTAAGTTAAAAGTTGATAATCATAAAATAGAAGTTAAAAGTAATCTTATCACAGCTTTCAAATAATTAGTTTTTTTTTTTTAGCTTATTAAATTATTCATGCCTAATAAGTTATAAGTAGAAACTGGACCAAACAGTCTGGTATAGACTCCCAAATCAAAATAAAGTATAATCACCCTCAAAAATTGTAACAAATAGTCCAAATATCAGAGAATAAATCATTTACGAAAGGATAATTCTTTAGTATGTAAGGCATATGGTATGCCATTTACTTATGTATTTTTGTGACTTAAGTTACAAATTTTTTAAGAACTTACAACACGTTTTATGGGTTAACTTACGCAATTTTGTGATGTAACTTACTTATGTTTGTTGGACAATCTTCAATGTATTCAAAGAAATGATTAAAGAAATGAGAGAGACTATTTGATTATAAAAATCAAAACAGTATACATAAAAAATAAAAATAAAACTACAAATTCTAATTTTGTTACAAAAACAAAATCTGAATCTAAAAAGAAAAAATTAACAAAACAGAAAAGTAAACTAATCACTTACCTTATTATTTTCTCGAACAAAATTTTGATCAAATCTAGTGTTTAACACTGTGTCTTTCAGATTATAGGCATCTATCTCCCAAGATAAAATGATCAATAACGAATAGTAGCAGCACTACAAACTATTCGCACAACGAACACATTATGTGTTTATACACATTTTCACAGGAAAAATAAATAGAGAAAAATGAAAGAGCAAAGCAGAAGCAATAACGGAAATTATTGAATGCAAAATCCAAATGAGGGACTGCTTATATATAAATAAAATAGTGGCTTTTCAGAATAGGTAGAAAACCTGTTTGGACTTGTTTGAACAGGTACAAGACCTGTTCAGTTTGAATTAAAAAGATATGAACCTATTCAGCTTAAATTTAAACAGAAACAGATATGAACTTGTTCGGGTGGAGGAAAAAAAAATCTAGACAGGTGTGTTGGACCAAAATGCTAATTCGGAATTAATTTCGAAATTCAAATTCCAAAATGTAACAATTTAATTTTTAGAAAAAATAAAATTCAAATATTTTCGACTAAAAAAGATAAACATTGAGCTGAACAAGCCCAACCCAACCTCACACCACGCACCCACGCCCCAACCCAGTCTAGCCCTCCTCGACGGACGGACGGCGTTGGCGAAGGCGGAGGTGGAGCACACGTGTGTATTTTGGGTACAATGGGTCTAGCCCACTTTGCCCCTAACCTCACCCTTCCACAAAACTTGGGTACCCCTTGCGGCCCTCCTCGAGTTGCAAACCTAAGCCTTATAAATCTAGACAAAGTTTGCCTATCAAAGCGATGTGAGACAAACCTTAACTTCAACCTTTATGGATATTTCATCTAACACACCATTTTTATGGAGCTCACTTTGGCTTCAATTTCCCATTCACCCGATACTAGTTTTGAGCAAGCAAATATACGACGTGAATCGTTACGCGGCAAAAAACACGTTGCCACATGGACCCGCCAACTTTGGCGCATGGGTCCCACCTAAAAATTAGACCAAAGTTTAAGAAAAAGTTTGTTTTTACCAAACAAAATTTTCAAACCATTTCTTACAATCCTCCATATGA